ATCATGTTGTTATCAGTATCATGTTGCTAACAGTATCATGTTGTTATCAGTATCATGTTGCTAACAGCATCATGTTGCTAACAGCATCATGTTGTTATCAGTATCATGTTGCTAACAGTATCATGTTGTTATCAGTATCATGTTGCTAAGATCACCATGTTGTTAACAGCATCATGTTGCTAACAGTATCATGTTGTTAACAGCATCATGTTGCTAACAGCACCATGTTGCTAACAGCACCATGTTGCTAACAGTATCATGTTGTTATCAGTATCATGTTGCTAACAGTATCATGTTGCTAACAGCATCATGTTGCTAACAGCACCATGTTGCTAACAGCATCATGTTGTTAACAGCATCATGTTGCTAACAGCACCATGTTGCTAACAGTATCATGTTGTTAACAGCACCATGTTGCTAACAGCACCATGTTGTTATCAGTATTATGTTGCTAAGATCACCATGTTGTTAACAGCATCATGTTGCTAACAGCACCATGTTGCTAACAGTATCATGTTGCTAACAGTATCATGTTGTTATCAGTATCATGTTGCTAAGATCACCATGTTGCTAACAGTATCATGTTGCTAACAGCACCATGTTGCTAACAGTATCATGTTGCTAACAGTATCATGTTGTTATCAGTATCATGTTGCTAAGATCACCATGTTGTTAACAGGATCAAGTTGTTATCAGTATCATGTTGCTAACAGCACCATGTTGCTAACAGTATCATGTTGCTAACAGCACCATGTTGTTATCAGTATTATGTTGCTAAGATCACCATGTTGTTAACAGCATCATGTTGCTAACAGCACCATGTTGCTAACAGTATCATGTTGCTAACAGTATCATGTTGTTATCAGTATCATGTTGCTAAGATCACCATGTTGTTAACAGGATCAAGTTGTTATCAGTATCATGTTGCTAACAGGATCATGTTGCTAACAGCATCATGTTGCTAACAGGACCATGCTGCTGTGGATTTATTTCTTTTTCACTTTTGGCACCTTGTTTTTATATTTTTGCTGTTTTCACACTTTGGTGTTTCTGGTTGTTGCTGTTTTTCTGGCGAGTTGAGACGATTCTTCTCGTCGTCAACATTTCACTGCGTTGTTGACCTTGTGTTAATTTGCACATGACAAATAAACCAAACTGAAACCTGACTGAACGAGCACAAATCATAAAATGAGAGATACGTTTGTTAACTGAAGTTAACGTCAAGTGAAACCAACTGCTGCAAATTAAACTTTAAACTTGGTCAAATTGAGAGTTACAGAGTTACAGTCAACCCAACGTGAACACTCGAGTCCAGAGTCGTTGAAGGATCGTCACGTGTTCTTGGGTTACCTTGGGCGCCGTAAGTTCAACTTTTGGGTTGTTCTCGATTTCCCACAATCCTTCGTTGAAGCCTTTCCTCTTGTTGGGCTTGGCGTACTTCTCTTTGTTTGGCAGGTACGGAAAGATATCTTTTGGGCCCAGAAATGCTCTGTACAGAAAGACAAAGAGTTTCAGAGCTGCCTCTAAATAAGAAACTTTCTTAAACTATAAAAACTTGAGTGAGTTGAGGAAGAAGCAGAGCAGGAGCCAGAACAAGGAGGTAACTCTGCATCAAGCGTTCCAGTTTTTAAAGCTTTTCATTTAAAAACTACGTCAGGAAAGGAAGCAGCACATCCCGAAAGCTGCTACACTGGTCAAATATACTCGACTTCAGTCGCTGCTCGTTTAGAAACTATAAAATACACCTGGATTATACTC